GGGGGGGGGGCAGTTGCTCCCGGACAGTGTCAATGTAACGGGGGACAAAGGCAAGAGAAGCCGATCATCCAATTCAATACTGTGTCCATCTCGACCTGCACCAGTCCAAGTGGAAGCGATGACGTCATGCTTGGCCTACATCGCCGTGACCTTCCCGATATATGCTTGAGATCCAACACAAGAGGCAGTGCAAAGTGCAAAGGCATACGTAAGCTTGCCCATTTACGGCGTGATCTTTCTCCATCTCCGTTCTTCATTACCCATCAAGTACTTTTCAAATTAGTGCTTTTCTTGAGACAGATAGTATGGGATGAAGCAACAGTTGCATCACCTCCCATGGTCGGTGTGGCCACTTCCAATCCTCCCTTCCTCCGTGTTCTGCAACCGTGTCGGATGACAACTATCGACAGGCCTACGATAGTCTTTGTAATGGAATTTTTCACCCTTTCTCTCTCTCTTCCCCCCGCCAAAATCCCGACACTCAAAGGGGCAAAGGCCGCAGCCCGTGGCGCACCGAACCGGGTGCCGTGATCCTCATCACCGATGGCAACAACGCCACGGCGGGTATGACCGTGGACAACGGCATGGCGATGGGCATGGGCATGGGCATGCCGACAGCTGCTTCGATGCTCAGCATGGAGGCCATCGGGCAGGGAGCAAGCGGGGCGGTGGGCGGCGAGCTTTGTGGGAAGCCGTACCGATGGGACCAGCGGCTGTTTGCGGTCATCCTGGGGGGAGCGGGAGGGGGCGGCGAAGGGGGCACGGGGATGGGAGTTGGTCGGGTGGATGGGGGTAGAGTGCCGGCGGAGACGGTCATGGCGTTGAGGGTAAGTGAAGTTTTCCAGAGACGAGGGTACGATTGTACTCTATTACCAAGTTTTTTCTGTTCTGTGTCGAGAAGCGATGCCTTGGGCTCAGGCTCTCTCGTGAGTCGAAGGACTGGCTTTGAAAGGCTTGCGCCTGCACGTTGTCGTCTGTCCCGGTTTCAATAGCGCCATCGTGCACGACTTTTGGATCGCAGGGGCCAGAGGCTCTTCTGTGTGTCGCTCTGTGCAAAAGTCGAGCTGCTTGTCCTTCTGTCTTGTCTGGCACCAATACACCGCCAGCAAGTCTATCAATCGCTTTTGTCGCTTTTCTAGCGAGGTGCCATCGCCGAATGACCCAACGATGTCATGACCACTATCTGCCCTCTAGTTGAGCGGTGACTACAAGCACGACAAGCATCAGTACAGCGGGAGGGGGGCGTCAGCCGTGCCGTTGACGTATTGCCCGGTGCCCCCTTTATTGGTATTGCAATACCCGTGAAACCGCGCGACGCACATGGGATAATCGATTGTGGATGTATCTGAGTGGGGCCAATGGTGCCCACTGAGTGTCGTGCTGGTGAGATTGAGTGACACATGGCAGCACTTCTAAGGGCCGGCCGGCCGGCCCCGTTATGCACTTCCATCAGCATGTTTGCATGTTTGTGATCGACGGGTACACCCATTCGCACCGTCAAGCTTGGCCCTTGCTCGCTGCTGTTGTTCTACCCTGCACCCCTGCTTATGTCGCCCTCAGATCATCAACGTTCCAAAACACAACCTCGGGAACACTTGCGGACGCGGGTCATTTTATGACAACACCCATCCTCTAAGCTCACGAACACGCCTCCCGGCTGCCCGCATCACTTATCGCGTACTTATCACCTGTCACTGATGAGGCATCACGTATCACGCACGTGCTTCGAAGTATCACGTATCGCGTATCACATACCGCGTGGTATCACTTATATGGCACGTATCACGTATGCGGCGCCACGTATCACGTATCACGTATCACGTACCATGTCACTTGTCACCTACCGCTCTTTATCACTTATCACGTATCACGTTTCAGAGCGTGTGCGAAGAGACTGGCGGGTGCCTAGCGACCTGGGACGCGGAGGATGGTCCAAAGCACAAAACCCTGGCTAGTCACGTCAACGATCTGCTCGGAAACGTGCACAAGAAGGTAAAGGTTAGCTGGGCGAGGGGTGGAGGCGTCGTTGTGTTCATGGAAGGAGGGGAGGAGGGGGGGGGTCCTTTGTTGGCACGGGCGTAGCGTATCACCATTGGATCCTTGATTGGATTGTGTTCTTCTTTCGAACCATAGAATAGAGTAACACGTGGTATGTGAAAGTAGCTGTGTATGGAGTATCGGATACGAAGTACTTGGAGTTTGTAAAGGGGGATGTAGATCTTCTTCAAGTCTGTGCGGCGCGCAAATAGTGGCGTTGAGCTTGAAGATTTTCACGGCACAAGATTCATGGTACTTACATATACAAGTAGACGTGTGTCGATGAAAGTAACCCGGAAATCAGACAGCAGGCAAACAGCCACTCGGTACATACCTACCCCGAGAGAGAGAAAGCGTGAAAAGCTAGCTTACTTTTGTCTGTTGTCTAAATTGCTTCTCGTCACGCAGCATGCAAAGTTTGAGGTTTTCAAGTCAAATTTGTAGTACATTGTTATGTGGTTATCTTGATGTCAATCTGTTTTTCAGACAATGTAGAGTGGTTCACCTTGGTGCGATGTGACATTATGTCATGTCGTGTCATGTCATGTCATGTCATGTCATGTCATGTGATTTTCATCTCGGCCGGCAGGGTCCTGTGGTGATGTTTCGCGCGGACGATTCCCTGGGCGGCGGGGGGGGGCTCGCGGATGAGTACGACGACGATTTGGACGGGGGCTTCAACGCGATACACAGGCCTCCGGTGGCGAGAGCCGGCCTCAGCATGCGGTGAGCAGTCGCCGCTTGACAATGATTGTTTTTTTTTGTTCTTGACTGTTGCCTGCCGTGCGCGTCGTATAAAATGCAGGCGTTCTTGTGTTGTGATCTTGTGGTGGGAGAAAGTTGCCCTCGCTCGACGGAGATGTCACATTCACAGCAATAAGTCTTTCTTCGAGATGCATGCAAAATTTGTTCGTTACTTGGATGGTAGTTTTTCACACGAAATCGAATTTCATTTCAGATGGTTACAGCTGAAGCATTGGGTAGTCAGCCTTGGTATGCACTGCCCCGCTCGGGGACTATGCATACGTTTTCTCCCTCTCGTCCTCTACCGGATGTCACTTTGATATTGATATCAAAGTAAGGGCGACAGGAACTTTCGATGGCGGGATGGGGCCAATTTTAGCCCTGCTCTGCTGTGCTCTGCTGTTCTCTGCTGTGCTCTGCTATGCGATGTGATGTGATGTAATGCAATAGTGGATGTCGTCGTCTGGCCCCTTCCCCTACCCTACCCGTTCCTGCCGTTGCCTTGCCAGGAGTGGCGCTACGTGCAGCTTCTGGCCAATACCGGAACCGTTTTGGGTGGACCGTACGGTGGACCCTCTTCCGCCACGGCGAGAGGCCCAACCGGAGCTGGTGTTCCGCAAAACCGGTTCGGCGGCGGCGGCAGCGGCGGGTACAGCGACAACGTCGCTAAGGGGGGATCTCACGCACCCCCGCGAGGTGCGTGCTTCGAACACTGCTTTACGCTTCGGGTTAGAGCTTCTTGTGTGTGAGCGCTTCCTGCGTTTGTGTGGTCTGCTTCTCATGTACGCTTGAATACGCCGTGTTGCTGGTATTGGTGTTTTTGTTCATGTCTCCACGCCATGAACCCCTACACCGGCATTCCCCTCCTCCCACCTCCGCTTGCTTGTCCGAACAATTCGAAGACGAAGAACGAGCTGTCACTAGCCACCCCAGAACAGATCTTAGAGTTTGATAAAAGGCTTGCCCATTCGACTGCTCAGTCAGCCAGCGCCTGACCGATGACGTGCGGACCATAGCAGTCGCCTTGTCCGACATTCGGCCGCTCTCTCCAAACCGACGCTGCGATGGTCCAGTCCGTTTGCGGTGCGTGATCGCTCGACAAATCGAGGCTCAGAACGATGGCCTGGTCCAAGACTCTTCGAATGATGACGTACCGCGAACGGACCGGACCATTCCGGGATTCGCAGCGTCGGTGTGGAGCGAGCGGCTGATCCCGGACAAGGCGACTGTGGTCCGTACGTCATCGGCCGGGCTCTGACTGACTGAGTAGTCTAATGGATTAAGCCTTTGTGTGCAACGAATGTGAAAAATTGAAGACTTGCAGAAAGGTTGCAAAACAGCCCCTTGGGTTAACAAGTCCACCTAGTTTTGGCAGTGTGCCAGCTGGCAGAGATGGTGCGAAGTTGGCTAGGTTCTGTTCGCGGATAACGCGTGTTTTTTTTTTATTATTTGGGGAGGGGAGGAGGAGACAGCGAGACAGTAGCGTGTGGGACTGGCAAACTGGAGAGGAGATTGCGGATGAAGTAGTACTTTGTCGTAATCCAGGAAGAATACTCGTGTCTATGTGCACACGCTGCTACAAGGATTGCCTTCTTGCTTCAATGGTGATGACGGTGACGCTGTGGCGAAGCCACAAGGATGCCGATCGTCGTGGGATGGTGACGTCATGTACGACAACCGAGGTCATCACGATGCCGGACTAGCAACGATACCATCCACGCGGATGGCCCTCTGCTGCTCAAACGAAAACGGGAACACTTAGCTGATCGATGCCGTACAACGTTGTTGCACTACCAATATGTCATTGCCACGCCATATTCACAGCTGTTGGAGAAGCTAGGGGTCGGTGTAGACCAGTACGAGCTGGAATGGTGCGGGTCAGGAACGCGTTTGGACATCCCGCGGTCGGAGACGTGGCAGCTCTTCGTCAAGGATACGAGCCAGCCTCCCTCTCCTGATTCCACGCCCCCCCCTGCCTTCGGGTATCTGAGGTGAGGAATGGGTGTACACACGGTGCAGCAGCAGCAGCAGGTGCTGTGTTAGATGTAGCCGACGCTATGGTCGTACAGCAGTGCCCTTTGTGCCGTCAGGGGGTAGAGGACAAGGAAGAGGACATGATAGGAGGAGGAGGTGGAGAATGCTCCGCATACCATGTGGTTCAAGCGGTCGCGGGTAGTATGTATCTGGCCGAACATGCGAGTCTGACTGTGCTCAGAGCGCCATCGCGATGAGGCATTGCACGAGAAGCACGCGGGGCAGAGGGGAGGCGGTAAAGAGGTGTGGATATCTTGAGAAAGAGGATGGTGGATGACGTGGTCGCACATGGTCAGCACATGTGTTAATTTGGCTGGCCTAAGCACACGCCGTCGTCCTGGGAGCAGTGCATGAGAACCTCTCGAGGTGCCGCCGTACGTTAGATATATCTATTTAATTGCAAGTGTAGAGATGACTGGAAGCGGTGGACACGCATTCTTCACACGAGTCATCTGGTGTTGTAACCGCAGGAGAAAAGGAAGACAACGCTATTATTAGTCTCTGGTGGGACAACGAGGGCGTTGCCCCGATGTAGAAGTCAGTATTCCCCTGAGCCGTAAGGAATGAAGCTGTAGGAGGTGCTCGCTTAACCCGTCTTGGGTGAGAAGTGAGAAGTGAGAAGCTGGGCGAGGGGCGAGGTACGGAAGCCTCGGTGTTCGACGGCCAAATTCGATGATGTGTCCTTTGGCTCACACGTTTACGGAGTCAAAGCAACCCTTTGTTGGTATCCTGTTGTACTCAAGTAATCCAGTCGGACATGCTGGTGTTCAAGCGACTATGTATCCGCTTGGAGGAAGCCCAGCCTCGAAAACCGTCGCCCTCCCTCTCCCCCCCTCCGGGTGAAATAGGGCCAGCCTAACGACGGGTCGACCGTTGATGATGGTGCTGCCCTACAACTACGAAGTTCTCATCCCCCTGCTGCAAGCGGTGAGGAGACCTACATGTATGACATTCTTCGTGTCGACATGTTTTGAGTGTTGCAGCTGCGCGCGCGAACTTCGGCTTTTGTTCTGTTCGATTTCGTTGTTTCCCTGAGTTTGAGGTACAGCATTCATTTGTTGTTGTATGCTACAGAACGTGTTGGGTCGGCCTGTTGGGATGGTGCGGAGGGTCGGGTCGATTGGCAATCACCGAACTTTCGGACTGCGAACACCAACCATACAGCAGTAGCTTTTTTGAGTCGGTCAGTCAGGCAGCGAGACGACCGTTGTACAGCAGTTGGGCGTTGCGTTTTCTACGAGCAGCAGCAGGTGCAGCAGGTACAGCACACCCATAGAACCCCCGTAGACAGACCTTGTGTGTATTCATCTCTCTACCGTGATGTGTTTTGGTAACCCCTCACTCCCTCGCACTTTATTCTACCGCTCGGTATTGCTGACACGTGCTGATTCGGTATATTCACTGCTATTCCGATGTGTTCGTTGACAGCGAGCGAGCACCCTGCAGGCGACGCAAAGCACGGCACCCCCCGCCGCGGGGTCACCGTGGGCCAGGGATTTCATGGCGTACATCAAGGGTGTGCCCACGTACTACCTTCCGTCTCTTCAACGAGTGCTGCAGGTCAGCAAGAAGTTGTTTCATGTGCTTGAGCTGTGACCGGTTGTGCCGCATTCAGTGTTGAAGGACTCACCCAAGAGCCACCTTGAGTGTGTGTTTGCCTTTGTGTCCTTTAGATCTACATTACATGTGTGCGATGGTCCAAAGCGGTATTACACTATTACAGTATACAGTATTACAGTTAGGGGTGTCAAAGCGGAAAATTTCCTGTAGGAAAAAAATCGAAAAAGCGTCCTCGGATCTTGCTTATGGAAAATCGACCAACCAATGAAATTGCACGGAACCGTCGGAACCTCCCGAAAAGACCCTCTGACGCACACGCGCGAGGGCGCGGCTCGCCTGTGTGCTTTGCGCCCTGCTATAGGGCACAGCACAACACCATTGCGCGGTCCCACTCTAGAACACATGCCTCATGACACACCCGAGCAGCAGCCGGGCGGTGAAGCCACGCAGACACCTGCCGCCGCCGCTGCTGCTGCTGAAAAAAACAGCAGCAGCAGCAGCAGCAGCAGCAGCGGCGGCGGCGGCGGCAGCGAGGTTGAGCCTGGCTCTCTTCCACAATTTTCTTACTTTTGACCAACTCCTCCTTCGTTTCCTCCAGCGTTCTCTCTACGACGGTGAGGCTGCCGCGTTCGATAGCGCGCCGCGTGTTATCTTCTGCTGACGCGGCAACCATACACTGCCCCGTCCTCTCTTCAAACTTTGTTTTGTGTTGATTCAGCTTTCGCGCAGCGCGCCTCCTGCTGCCGAACGGCGCGGACCTCGATTTTTTGTTTTGGGAGGGTCTGCTGGTATGGGCGCTGCAGCCCCACTGGAGGGGCCGTTTTCAGACATGTAGATCTCGTGGTTGGCTGATGCGATTCGGATGCGGTTTGTTGTGTGGTATAGCTGTAAACCCAAGGTAGAGGGCTGTAAGCTCGCTTTTTCGAGAGGAGCAACGGTCGCCTTGGGCGTGGAGCAAAGAGCCCAAAAAACCATGTTTTTTGGTGTTGTTCGTCCGCCCTTTAACTTTAAGAGAAAACCGAGCTTACAGTCACCTCTATTGGACCTGTGTCCAGGTGTGTGTAACGCATGAAGAGCCATGTTGCTGTCTTGACGCAGAGCTGCCTGTACAAACAAATTGACTTGATGTATAGTTTATTCAGTATTCACAGCGGGATTCTCAAGAACCAAAAAAAGAACCTAATCCGCGTGCCCCCCTCAAATTTTGCCGAATGGACCGGACGTTTGTTGGCCCCAAATTCCGCCGCTTAAACACCCCTAGCAGTATTACAGTATTACAGTATTACAGTAGTACAGTAGTACAGTAGGACAGTAGTACAGTATTACATTATTACAGTATTACGATATTACAGTAGTACAGTATTACAGTAGTACAGTATAGTAGTACAGTAGTACAGTAGTACAGTAGTACAGTAGTACAGTATTACAGTATTACAGTATTACAGTAGTACTTGCGTCTCTGTCCTTGCGGGAGAAGCACTACGGGCGTCTAAAGATCATTTATTTGTTGCCTCCCCTCTTGGTCGTGCGCAGTCGATAGTTGATACACCCGCTGGTCATGCCATCTGTCTACCTGCGGAGCGACGTTGCTTTGATTTGCTTTGCTTTGCTCTGTGGTCCTTGATTCGATTGGATTCGTTGCATCGCCGCGGTCCTCTCACAAGGCAACTACGCCATCAAGCACAGCAGTATCGCTATCCCGGTCCCGCAGATGGTCCTTCTCAGTCTCCCTTCTCACTAGCACTGCCCCCCCCCCCGGCCGCTTAGCTTAACCCGCACGCACCCCGTCTTGATCCCTTCCTGCGCCCCTCGTCGCGAAACATATCGAACCACACTATTATACTGGTATCACCAGCCGTTCGGGGTTCAAGCGCTAATTCCCGGCGAAGGCTTGCAAAGCGGGGGAGGAGTGCTGCACCGAAAAGTCACGGAGAAGCTCAACAGCCTCAAGGAGCTCGCCGGCCGTCAGGTGGAACGGGCCGATCGCATCGAGAGGGCTGGTCGTGCGAAGGTTAGTCTTGATCAGGCTACTCGGCTATCGCAGTATAGGTTGCGGTGTAATCGGAGATACCGCACACCCAGGACCGATTGTCAAAGCTCGTCTACTATTTGTTATTTTTGTCTGCGACAACAGCAGTGACGGCGGCCAAAATGGCGGGAGGCGTTGAGACCGACCGTCCCGCCGCTGAGAATTTTCCGATAAGGTTCCAGTTGGCTTTTGTGGCCTCTTCGTCGTGGAGTAGTCGAGCGTTTGAAGATCGGCCCGGGGGGGGTGTTAGCGACCTGCCGCATTCTTATCCGATGTCGACGGGGTGTGATCCTTGGAGGTGTAGCACCAGCAGCAGTAGTAGCCGTCGTTTGGTTGCGGCCGCACCCGTTGTGTTGCCTGACTTTGGCGTATGCGTAGCAGTGTGCAGGCTGACATTGGTCATTGGTCACTGGTCACGGCTGTGAGTAGGTAGACAAGGCGGAGTGCGGGGTGAGTGGATAGCGTTTTCCTGGAAAAAAACGTTCGAGGGTCGTTCATTTCTCCGCTACCGCAATGGCTGCAGCGCGTTTGCCGCTGCTGTCGTGACGTAATCAAAAGCTCCGACAAACGCCATCGCAACGTGGTCAGTTATTTATTTGCCGATATCAAACCACCTCCAACGTCATCGTCTACTATTATGCGCGGCAACAGGACCCAGAGCAGCGGCAACAGCAACAGCTGGACAACGGCCAGTCTGCTGGGCCCCTTTCTTCTTCAAAGAGCACTTTGTACTCGAACGCCTTCCAAGTCCCGGTCGGTGAGACGAGATCACATGAGACCATGATGCTGCTACTGTATGCATAATGCATGTGAGAATCTAGAAGATGTCGGTGAGGCCATGATGCTGCAAAGACATCAACCCATCCTCTTCGACTATAATACTGCTGTGGTTGTATCTCGGACGGGTGTTACAGTCGTTCTTTGATCACGAGCATTCCATTCTACTTAGAATTTAGACCATCACACATGACACACGCTTGCTTAGCAGATTTGAGCAGCACGAGCGTGACAGCCAGGCATCACCTTGCGCCGATGAGGTACTGTGGCTTTTGGCTCCATAGACCGGAAGAAGAATGTCTCGATGGCCTCTACCCTCTACTACATCTATTTTTCTGTTTTCGCCTTGATAACGCTATGGTAGATTTGGTACTGTACAGTACAGTACAGCAGTACAGTGAAGTACAGTAGAGTACATTTGCAATAATTCCCCCCCAAGCCCGAGGACGCGTGGTGCTAACCGCTAAGGCATGCGAAACATAAGGGTACCCCCCCCCCCCCCCCCCCCCCCCCCCCCCCCCCCCCCCCCCCCC